ATCCAAAAAGCTGCGAATCTCTGTCACCGTCTTCGGTGGCTCCTAATCAAGAACTGCTATGACCTTAGCTGGATCCACTGCTATACCCTCTCTACTGATGACATGGCCAAGAAATCTAACTTCTGAAAGCCAAAATTCGCACTTGCTGAACTTGGCGTATAACTGATGCGCCTGTAGAGTCCTCAAAGTCAACCGCAGATGCTCCTCGTGTTCTGCCTCCAACCTCGAATAAATGAGAATATCATCGATAAAAACAATCACAAATTGATCCAAGAAGGGACGAAAAACCCGGTTCATCAAGTCCATGAATATCGCGGGTGCATTGGGCAACCCAAATGGCATGACCATAAACTCGAAAGATCCATATCGAGTAAGAAAAGCGGTCTTAGGAACATCCATCTCCCGAACCCGCAACTGATGATAGCCTGAACAAAGATAAATCTTCAAGAAATACTGTGCTCCCTATAACTGGTCGAACAAGTCATCAATCCTAGATAATGGGTACCTATTCCGGATAGTGACTTTGTTCAACTCTCTATAATCTATGCACAATCTCATACTACTGTCCTTCTTCTTCACGAAGAGGACCGGTGCATCCCAAGGAGAATGACTCCGGCGAATAAAACCCTGAGCTAACAACTCGTCCAACTGGGTCTGAAGCTCCCGCATCTCAGCTGGTGCCATGCGATAGGGTGCGCGGGATATCAGGACTGTGCCTAGCTACAACTCAATACAGAACTCAACCTTTCTCACAGGAGGTAATCCAGGTATGTCCTAAAAGACATCCTGATACTCTGAGACAACTCTAGTCTCCAATAAGTCAACACCTTGATCCCGTCGCATTACCTCCTCGATGTACGCTAGAAATGACACCGCAAAACGGTTGCCCTGAGAGGTGGCTACAATCATCTCGGACCCGTCGGACGCTCGCAACTTGACTGTCTTCGCAAAGCAGTTAATACTAATATGGTAGAAAGATAACCAATCCATACCAAGGATGACATCGAACTCGGACATATACAACACTATCAAATCAACTATGAACTCCGACTCGTCTAAACTGACGGTACACCTCCTACAAACGCTCTCCAGAAGTGATACCTCGCCTAAAGGGGTGGAAACTGATAAAGGGGTGTCTAGAGGCTGAGCTATGAGCTGGAATCTAGCCATAAATATAAAAAAAATTCTTATTTTTTTGAGATATACGCATATATCGCCCTCACTCATACTAGAAAATCCTTACGGACTTTATACATGAATCCTAAGAAACTCTATCCTAGCTCCACGACTTGACACAGGATGATCCTAAGGATACTGGGACTAGAGCTCTGATACTAACTGTGACGCCCCTGGGTTCACACAAGGCTGTAGTCCAAGGTGAAACCAAGCATATCAAACCTGCTATGCACCACACCGTGTAATAACATGTTTCACCATCACAATTAACGTCTCTCTAGTAGAGTCAACAACAGGTGTAGGTACAAAAGCAAGTAATAGATAATACAAAGAATAACTGATGACATGATAGTGACCACATTAATATCTCATCATCCAACATACAGAAATACATAGTCAATGTCTGAATAGATAAACCGGAGTTCTCAACAAGGCTCAAATACAAAAGGTCTGAGTAAAGGGAATAAGGCACACAGCCTTTACAACATCTAGAATATAGTCCTCAAATATCTCACAAAGTCTACGGTGGAGCTCCAAAATAAAACATAACTAAAAAAATAGATTGCTGATACTAAAGTGCATCGTCATCAACCTGTGACTCTCCGGGCACCTGGCTCGTTACCTGAAATGGGGAGGGACAACAAGCGTCAAAGCGCTAGCGAGCAACATCACAACCAACCCCAAGGGAACAGGACTCGTTGTATAAGAAAATATAGATAATACATAATAAATCTAAAATCATTGATCTTAACTAAAGAGGATTTTAGTATTTAGAAATTTACAACACAAGCATATGTACGTCGAGCGAAATAATCCAAACAAGGAAACCCTCATGTATATACCTTGTATCTCAAATTGTAAATCCCTAAACACTAAACCCGAGTTCTAGTACAGGAACAATAATAAAAGAAATACAACTCATCTCAGAACATAAATACAATGTCATGTCATAGCCTACATAAGTGTCATGTCATAACCTACATAAGTGTCATGTCATAAACTCATGTGAAAAATTCATATACAGGGTTAAGAAACGTGTCCAATACATGAACTAGATATAGTGATTTCCAAACACATGGAACAAATGGGCAAATGTCCAACACGAGGACTAAAATGGATTATAGTCCAACACGAGGACTTCTATGGATTATAGTCCAACACGAGGACTGTGAAATGGTGAAAATATCACTGGGATACATAGTGAGATCTACCTATATCAATTCACAGTCAAATCAGTGTCTGCACACCCAGCGGTCGACCGCCGCGTCCACCGCGGTCGACCGTGAAGCAGACAGAATCCCAATTAGGGTTTCTGTCAGCTTCGAAACAAATTCAAACACGATGATTTCTATGTTAACAAAAATTCTAACATTTCTAATATGTCATATAGCAGCAAACAACGAATTTAAACCTTTAAAAATCTCACCACCAAGATCCCAGATATTTATAAACATGATTTAAAGAAGAAAAAATGGGTTTAGAACAGTAAAACAGGATTTAACTTTTGCTAAAACGATTTCCGATCTAGATCTCATTCATTAAAATTCGTTGGTGAGCTTTTAAAAATCTGAAATACTTGATTCTCACATCATATGCCATAATGATCTATTATCTATACATAAAAATACGATTTAGGCCCAATAAAACCGGATTAAAACTCAAATAAAGCATGAAAACAAAAGGGGGTGAAGTTGGGCGAGATGTTACTCGCCTCTGATGAAAACAAATCTCCTAGATCTGTAGGAGAACGATTCCCTTCGCTGAATCCCACCAAAAACTCACTGGAAACCCTTCGAAACTCCTCCAAGATCACCAAAAACGAAATCTAGGGTTTGAGGGGAGAGAGGGGGCTAGGGTTTCTGATTTCAGATGAAAAGAGGGCTCTCTCTTGGGTTTAATAGTATATATACTAACCCCACAAACCCGACCCGAAACCCATTAAGACCCAAACCCAGAAAACAAACTGTCTGTTGTGCGGTCGACCGCCGTGGTCGACCGCACAACAGGAAAAGAATTTCCTGAGTGCCCGACTGCTGTGCGGTCGACCGCCGCGGTCGACCGCGCAACAGAAAAAATGCCTGCTACAATTGATATCAACATGCTGGACTATCCACTTGATTCCTCTCATATAGAATCACTTGTTGGGTTCTCAAACACAGATTATCACATTCATCTATGATATTTATGATTATTTATCATAAAAGAATTATATATCACTAATAATTCACATATATTCACATATATTCATTCACATATATTCATTATAAAAAAAATTACGGGGTTCTACAGTGTTTCTATCTTTAAACCTAACTTATTCACCATACGCCGAGAGAAAAGATTCTTACTACTGTGACTATCAATAAAAACATCACAAACAATTTGCATCGCAGTGCATCTCATGCGGAAGATACTGTGCTCCGGAGGTGGTTCTTCTTTCTTTATTGCTTCTTTGGTGCTCTTCTCATCTCCAAGGGCTTGCTTAGGGTCATTGTCGTTGTTGAATTCATCATGTGGAGTCGGATCACATTGCTGGCGACCATCAACACGATTTCAAACTCCCACCGTGTTCAGATGCTCCACCGTCGACGCAAGTTGCTCTAAAGTAGTCTTCATCTGATTAACATCGGTCTTCAACTCATCGAACTTAGTTCGAAAAATAGGGGCCTCGTTGCCTGCTATCGGATAAGAAAACAAGGCTCTGATATCAATTAACGCAGCGCGGAAGTGATAATATCGAAATCCACCAATGGATGTTCTCTGAATCCACAAAGAACGATCTCCGAATCCACAAAGAAAATATTGAAAGAGAAATTTTATTGGTGAAAAATTATTCTTCTTTGGGGTTACATGACTCTTCTTAAATTAAAAAATAAATAAGACTCCTAGTAAGACTATAATTACAAAGAAATAGAAAGTATCAAATTCTATCCTAAAAAGACTCCCTATATTAGAGAAAATAAATCATAAATCAAAATTAATTTTTTTCCCTAATCTTATTTGACTCTAATGTTAAATTTATTTTCTAATCCAAATAAACTCCAACTTTATTACTAAAAATAAACTAAAAGCTGATAATTTTTGAATTTCAGCCAAAATTGGGTATTACTGATAAGATTTTAAAAATCTGACAATCTGGTTGGCTCCATCTCATCGAGATAGGCGATTTACATATATAATATGTCAGAATCCGCCTTCTAGGTTGGAGGATATGATTGTTTCTTTGCGGAAGTCAATAATACGTATAAATCTGTATTTAGCTCGTGATTATCTGAATCCTCCATGAAATTGTCCGTTAAGCGTCCTACATCAGACTACAACTTCAATTTCAACTCCAAATTGCAAATTTTTAAAAATAAATCAAACAAATACAGCTGCAATTGCATGCAGGAGAAGTGACAATAACTACAGTTGAAGTGAAGTTGAAGTGAACCAAACAAAGTGTTGCAACAATATTTTCTAAGAAACTGATCCAATTTTAATAAACATGCATGAATTTTTTTTTAAGAGCACGCATGATTGTTTTTTGAAGAATGTTCATCACATAGTATCTGCTACCCCCCGAAACATGGCATGTGTATTCTGATGGGACTAATTATTGTGTTCTTCCCTTTTTACTAATAAAAGGATTCTCATCCTATTTAATGGACTAGTTTCACTAGACATGTCTACAAAAGTAATATATATGCCCTCCTCTTTGGCACTAATCAAATATCACTTGTATACTTTCTCCAACCTATTAGAATTCATAATAACAAATCAAATAAATTAATTAATAATTATTATTTTTTAAAAAGAAGAGGACCCGAACTCAGGACACATGAGCACACTCAACAAAAGTATGTGGTCCATTTTTAACGTTTGACTTTCTTCCTTTCAATTTACATTTAATGTAGAAATAGGCATTACAATAAGGTTTTCTTCTTCCAATATCACTCCCAATCATGTGATTTCCATTCTGGGAGTTGTTGAATCACAACCTGCAGTCATCAAAGAAAAAGGCAAATGTAGGTCAATTCCATGGGGCAAAAAGACGCCAACTTTATGATGATTGAATTACTGAGTTGAGAGAGTTCAGATGCAAATATATATATATACCTCCCCTCTTGAGTCTTTGTTACCAACCGTAGTTTGACACGCTAGTCTCCATGTCTTGGGTTTCTGCAATTTGCAGTAACAAAAAGTAAATATATTTATGCGTCTCATGTAGGATATGTATCTGTTATCTAAAGTGTACAGATATAAGAATCATAAAATATGGCTAAGATATTACTCTTCTGAATAAAGGTCTTGACTTTGATCCTCATTATTCACAAGGGACATTCAATAAGAGTTATATTCATAATAATTAAACATTATAAAACATAATATATCTAAAAGATCAGATAGATTCAAAAACCAAATAAATAAATTAACATACATAATCAAAAAGGGAAATTACTCTAAACCCCCATGAACTTTCAGCATTTTGAGGTAAACCCTTATGAACTTTCAAAAATCACACTAAACTCCAAACAACTTTTCTATTTCGCAAAAAACTCCCAATAAGTTTTTGCATTTTGCAGATAACTCCTATAAATTGGAACCATAAAACATGCATAAAAAGACATTTTGAAAGTTATTGGGGTTTAGTGTAATTAACCCAAAAGATATTAGGGGTTTTCTGCAAAAGTTACTAGGGATTAAGTGTGATTTTGAAAGTTCACATGGTTGACATTTTGAAAGTTATTGGGGTTCAGTGTAATTTACTCAAAAGATATTAGGGGTTTTCAGCAAAATCTACTGGGGATTAGGTGTGATTTTGAAAGTTCATAGGGTTTACCACAAAATTCTGAAAGCTCATGGGGTTTATTGTAAATAACCTTAAGAAATACTATTTAACTTGACAATTGACAAAGAACTTGGAGGATCACCCTTTTGAGTTGCTCCTTTTCTATATCAGTACGCGGACTAAGAAGCTCCTTCCCTTCAACAACCTGCAATTTCGTCAAAACATAAAAGTGCTATTTTGAACTTCTTTTGGACATAAATAAATATAGAAAAGTACATCAAGAAACATGTTTTATTGGTCACCTTTTCTCTTTTTCTCTCTCAATTTGGAATAGAAAAGGGTGAGACTAAGTTTATTCAATTACTTATTACAATTTGCACAAATACATGAGGAAAACTGAAAAGGGCGACAAAGCTTCTACTACCAAAAAATAACGGAGAGACGACTACTTTCAATCCAAATCAACCTATCCGTTACAAATTTTAGCAAGTACCATATCTTCATATATTTTCCCCCATTGTCACTTTCCACTCACTGACGAATCACAATTGTTAATTAAACAATAATTAAACAGGGTTTAGTGAGAAATGGTGGAGATAACTTAATCCAACAGCACAAACGAAACTACATGTGATCAAGTCAACTGGTTTGCTAACGCTGCAATAGTTCAGTAGAAACATTTCAGATGATGATAAACAAATGGATTTCTTACAGAGCTTTGTTAATTACCTCAACCAGACATGTACCACATGTACCGCCACCTGCACAATTAGATAGCGGCTTCGCCTACAATTATAACATCTACATTATTGAGATTTTATATTAAGAGAGATTTTAGAGCGAAAAAATATATATATATCGCGCGAGAGGGAGAGAGAGATTATTACGTAAGGGCCGTATAAATCAATGTGGGAATCCAGCATTATATCCCTCAGTTTCTGGCCCCCGCACGCTGATCGCATTGCTATATCCGGCGTTCCATCAGGAAGCAATCTTGACTGCGAACAGCAAGCACAATACAAAATCAGATTTGAACATAAAAACATGAAATCTTCAGAGATATATTCGTTTTGTTTTTGGAAATACATTCTTTTTTTTAATTTATGGTTTACTTTTTAAATGATTTGTTCGTCGAGGGGTAAGTCGCAATACACCCTCCGTACTGAAGGATGTTATTCCTTTCATTACATTACATGTGTAGAGTACGTAAGTTCCACACTTCTAAGATAAAAAGATTCACTTTTATAACATGCTGAAATATCACAGGATCACTTTGCAACACATGGGCACGACACCAACATTACCAGTACAGATAACGAGATTATAACTCGATTTCAGCTTAAAGGTGTCAAAGTGTTAATTAGTTAAAAAAGTTTACGAATATTAACTAGCTAATCATCTATACTTCAAGTACAATTTAGCCCCACGTTGAAATGTCAGTAAACATACGTGAGTCCATAGTTGCCTTACAGTAGTAGTAATTTGATACTTCTTGCATAGCAGAAGGCGTGCACTGAGAATAAAATGTCATAAGCCGCGAGCTAACTTACACCGACAAATGCAAAACCGATGGAGGGTGGTTCTTCAACCTCTGCAGCCTCCGGCGGGCTGCTGGCGGTGGCGCATTGAGTCCTCTTCCTCTTGAGAGGAGGCTGATTTGGTTGTTGGAGTGAAGAAATTTGGTGAGTTTGGTGGAGGCTTGTTTTGGAGCTAGTTTTGGGGAAGAGAGAGATGGGGAGCTTATTTGAAGGATGCCCATTTCTATATCCAAGAGGAGAGGTTGGGTGCAGGAGACTGTAAATTGCTTATTCTATTTATTTATTTATTTTCCCCTCCTATTATTTTCAGTTTTCATGTTTTCTATCTACATCTTGTGTGGATATGGTTTTCTCTCTCATCCGTTTGAGGAGTGATGAGCGTGCAGTGGGTTTGGGCTCGAACCATGTGTCACTTGAATACTTGGATTTGGTACGGCAAATTACACTTATGTTCGGCAACAAACGCACGGGAGGTGAATGCTCAAGAGAGTAATTTTATTTTTAATCTTTTAGAAAGTACATCTCGTAATTTTTCTATTCACAAAACCTTGTGTGGATGTTAGAAAATGAAAAGATGGAAAGTTAAGGGGCCAATTATACATGTGTTGTTTAAAATCTTCATGATTACCATAGAAAGTGAACGGTGGAAAGTGCACAGTTAAAACTGACTCATGATAAAAGTGAGAATAAAAAACTAAGGCTAAATTTCAGAAAATCCTTTAAATTTGGATAAATATCGGATAATCCTCGTAACTTTGAAAATACTAACAACACACTTAAGGTTATGGGTTATTAGAAATCCCTTTTAAATTTAAGATTTTATTAGAAATCTCCGCAGAAGTGTGAACCACAATATTTACTAGGAAAAATATTCCCTGCGTAAATTTTGACCACCCTTTACGAAAATTGCAGTTAGAACTCTTAGTTTATGAGAATTCTCTGATAATTGCCCAAAGTTGGGAGCTATCTAAAAATTAGCCAAGAACTAACATCTCTCCCCCTTCTTGTTCACTTTTATGATGAGGATTGTGGATTTCATTTTATATTTTGACAATTATCCAATCCTTTTTGCATCCCATAGGTAATCCCGCTAACTGTCCACAATCTATTCCATTCTTTTGGTGCGTCAAGCTAGTTTGACTGTTAAGTTGTTCACCAGGAGAAATTTTGAAAACCATCTGATTTAAAAAAAAGTTTGCAAAAAACGACTTCTTCTAAAAATAATTATCAAAACCGATCTAGTTTCAGCTGTCGGGCTGAAACTAAGTCGGTTTTGACGAAAAAAACTATGAAACTTCACGGTACTTGAAGTCCCGTGAAGTTTAGCACCGTCTAATGTTAATAGATTAACGTCATTATAGGCTGCTAAACTTCACGGGACTTCAAGTCCCGTGAAGTTTTATAGTTTTTTTCGTCAATACCGACCCAGTTTCAGCCCGACGGCTGAAACTAGATCGGTTTTGATAATTATTTTTAGAAAGATGTCGTTTTTTGCGAACTTTTTTTAAATCGGATGGTTTTCAAAATTTGTCCCCGATTATTACGTCAATGACAAGTCAATGGGTGGAAGCCTTTTTCCTTTACGCTCTTTCTTTATTATTATTATTATTCATCAATCTACCTCCTCCCCCTTTTATTTTATGGATTTTTTGGACGGTATTAATTTGTAGCACTAGTATGAAGTTCAGATCTCTTACATGCTGCAAAAGGCATACGCAAGAGAGAAAATCCTACTTTCAACACTCGCGTTTTCCAAATTTGGACCGAATTTATATTGCTACATATGAACAAAGATTTGAACTCCGTAATCTCTTCACATGCTACAAAATACACAAGCGCCATATCTAGAAGTCTTGGTTTTATTTTTCAACCCCTTGTGTTTTCCACAAAGTTTTCTGTCAAAGCATCTGCTCATAAAGTGTTCTTATAGTTTCCAATCAATCAAAGTCCAACACCTAACTAATCCTCTTCTTTCTATTCCCTATACTTTTCTTCAGCATGTTTGAAAAGTAATGCATTTCTTTATCAGACACCAAAAGCGTCTCAACATAGAAAAGGAACTTAATTAACTACCACCAGCAAAGCATAATTCTGCTTATAAAGCACGCCGTACTCTTGATGGCGGCACGTAAATCCTCATCCGATCGATCCTGATCGTAGAATCCGCGACAATCGACTCAATTAAGAATCCATTATCGTACCTATCAATCCTTAAACAAGCTTATCGGCGATAATCAAGATCAAGTACCAAACCCACTTGGATACTTCTTTTAATATTTGATGACTCTGACCGCACATGCAAGAATCTCATGCCGTTTTAAAAAAATGATGAGTCAAAAGAAGTGAGATTAGAGTAGGATCGGCGTAGGAAACCAACGCTCCAAAGTGAGGGGAATTAGTTCTGCGGTTCTTTTCTAACATCTTCTTGATGTACTTTTGGTTGCTGACAATTTTGGAGTTGGATAGCTTAATTTGTCAGCTGGACCGGGTAGTGGAGAATAATCCAGTTTTTAAAAGATGAGCCTTTTCTTCACCTACTTTGGGTCCACAAAGATCTTTTACCCATGGTGTTCTTAGAAATCCCTGAAGAAAAGCAAAACTATTCGAGCGAAAATTTTCTGTTTGTTTTGATGAAAATCCGCAAGGGGCTGTTTGAAACGTTTTCATGTGAGTTGGGTATTTATGACAAGTTTTGGAACGTGATCCAACTCAACCAGACGAGTGCAGACTTCCCAACCCATTCCTTTTCCTATGAAGGATAAATAATTTCTTTAACACTGCAGATGAAATCATTTCTTATTTAGTGCATCAATTATAATTATGTCGGCATATCAGAATGAACGCAATATAAGTTTTGGGTGCCACCTCAGCAGAATGAGTGTATTTTTTTTTATTTATTTTTTAATTTGTCAATCAAACAAGGTAAACTTCAAAGGCTGACAATGAACCCCGCAAAACCAACGCTTTACCTTGTTTCCTCGAAAAAAAAAGAATAAAAATGCATTCAAACAGCTCCTAAGAGAAAATGGACATGAATTTGTTGTTATATCAACAAGTTTTTAGTTCAAATCATCTTTTCTCTTGTGGATTTTGGAAATAAAGAGAAGGAGGAGGAGAAAAGGGGTGTTAGGCCTACAGCTCAGAGGGAGTTGCTTACATACAGTAGGAGGGGGAAGGAACCAGAGGTACCTACAGTAACAGTGCCTAGTCCCTCGTCTTGGTGTGCGCGAAGGGCGTAATTAGCATAGTCCCCTCCAGAGAGAGTAGTAGATGCCCCCTCAGACACATCACCTACTGCTCTCTGCTTCATTCTCAGTGCTGCCAAGAGTACACGATCCTCAGCAGTGAAGATCATCTCAGCTTCTTCTTCTCTTTCTGCCACTGTCAAGTTTGCTCGGTGGCCTCCTCTTCCACCTCGCCTGCCTCCACAGCCACGGCCTCCAGCCTGACCACGTCCACCCTCTCTCTGGGTGGCTTAGGGCACATCTGTCTCAGATGCCCTACCTCTCCGCAGTTAAAGCACTGCCTAGTCTCCCCTCTGAATCCAGTGTTATCCAAGCCTCGGAGAAACAACATGGTCCTCTTCTGCAAGGAGGCCTCGCGCTCCTTGCACTCCGGGTCTTTGTAGCTTGCTAGGGGCGAGAAGTGATCGTGATCGAGCCACAAACGCTCCAGCTCTGTGGCGTACTCCTGTACAGTCCTCCCTCGCTGTACTGTAGCGTTGATCTTCTTCTCGATCTGGAATACCCTCAGGTTATTCTCCACCCCATCGTAGGTCCTCCTCGGCTTCTCCCAGACATCATGCACCCTCCCAAGGTCATCCAATGTGGCAGTAATTGGCTGGACTACAGAATTCAGAAGCCAGATGTACACCAACATATGAGTGGACTTCCACTCATCTCTCCCTGCTGAGCCCTCAGCCGGCTCAGTCTTCTCCCCTGTCAGATATCCCTCTAGGCTCCTCCCGGCAAGGGTATATTTCACCCAGCGCGACCAACTCAGATATGTCGCGGGTCCATCAAGTTTTACATCGATAGGTAGAAGCTCCACCTTCTTGGGTTGTGGCTTTGTCGAGCTCTCTCCCGCCGACAACCTCATCAGTTGCATCAGTGTTGAGATCTCCTTAGGATTCAACTTCTTGATGATCCCCTCCATCGGATTTCTGCCAGTCTCCGTCATCGATCCAACTTGTATTCTTGTGCGCAGTGAAAATTTTGGCAGCACTTCGACAGCACCACAAGAGAGATAGATCAACAAGAATTCTTGTTTCACCAAGGAAACAAGAACCAGAAGCAGGATATCTCAACCAAGTGCGATATCAGCTCTTCCTCTCATCGGTTCTAGGACTGACCTGTCGAGGGAACCTAAACAAACTATTACAACTTCAAATATTGTCAACAGACATAGGAAAAACATATAAGATTTCCATACAGACCCCTATCTCATCATCAAGTTTACCAAAAACTACCCACAACATTGGCCGCCCAAAATAAAACGAAATTAAACACACTGTTTAAAAAAAAACAAACTACCGAAGCTCAGGCTCCTTCGACTTGTCGCAGTCCAGTCACCCCCTCTTCACGTCGAGTTCACCATTTACTGCCCCTACCGACCATCGCAGCTCAATCACCCCCTCTCCCGACCACCGAAGCTCTACTCCTCCTCTTCAGCTCCTTGATCGTCGATCTCAGGCTCGACCCCATCCGCTTCTCTCCGATCCCTTGCTCAACCTCCGAGTTTCGTCATCCTCTATGGTACTCGTCCCCGCACAGCTCCACGAGCGCCTCCCTCCCTTCGTTGCTCCCGTAGAACACCCGCTGCAGCAGGTCCAAGAAGAGGGAGCAGGTCCAAGAAGAGGGAGCAGATGGGGAAGGATGGCTAGGGTTTCGAAGGACAGAGGGCTCGGGTTGGCAGGGGCTCGAAGGAAGAAGAGGTAGGGAACGACGGCGGCTCTAATACCATGAAAAGAATTGGGGTTTTAGGGTTAGTTTTCATTGATAGAATAATTTGGCTTATATAGCCTTACACCCACATTTACATAAAAACCCCTCTAATATCCACCAATTACATTATCTTTTCAACAAAATGTTTTCACGTAAGTTGAGTATTTATGACAAGTTTTGGAACGTGATCCAACTCAACCAGACGAGTACAGACTTCCCAACCCATTCCTTTTCCTATAAAGGATAAATAATTTCTTAACACTGCAGATGAAATCATTTATTATTTAGTGAATCAATTATAATTATGTCGGCATATCAGAATAAACGCAATATAAGTTTTGGGTGCCACCTCAGGAGAATGAGTGTATTTTTTTATTTTATTTTAATTTGTCAATCAAACAAGGTAAACTTTAAAGGCTGACAATGAACCCCGCAAAACCAAAGCTTTACCTTGTTTCCTCGAAAAAAAAAGAATAAAAATGCTTTCAAACAGCTCCTAAGAGAAAATGGACATGAATTTGTTGTTATATCAGCAAGTTTTAGTTCAAATCATCTTTTCTCTTGTGGATTTTGGAAATAAAGAGAAAAGAGCCTCACGTAGGACTTTCCATTAACCCTGACAAGAAATATATATTTGAAAAAGATTTATTGTTTTCGTATGGTTGCAGATCAAATTGTTTGTTATTTAGTGAATGATCATAATCATGTCGGATGTGAGAATGAACACAAGATATAGTGATAATTACGATAACAATAAATCATTAAGGCTATATGAGGCCCCATACATTTTCTAAACAACAAAATAATAATAATAATAATAATAATAAATTAAAAAAACATTAAGGATCTTACATATAATATGATGATCTTGATTTGAACACAACAGTCATAAGCAAAAAGAATTCAAACTCAGTTGAAAGTGAAATCATTATAATTCTCATTTGAAATTCTTGAATGGTTTGAGACTTCATAAAGATGGAAGAAACTTGATATGACCTTATCCAGTACAAAGCATGACCAACAACTGGACCCCTACAACTCTCAGAAAATTATGATATTGTTAATGGATATGCTGTATGATATTGTTAATGGATTCATCTTTGCTATCTCATATTCAGTCTAACACTCAGTCCTGTGACAATTCACGTTTGACTCAAAGTCTGGTTGACAACTCCCTAGCTCAGTGGAACAAAATCATTTTCGTCCTAACCCTAGTTTGGTAAATGACTGGATCAGGAGCTATACTTATTTTGTTAGGTCAATTTTTAGCCTGGAACTAGTTCACAGTTGTTCTACCCCCTCCCCAGGTCTATAAGTAAATCAGTTTTGAACTAAACTAGCTTATCTTCACCCTACCAAGGTGACCTCCTAGTCTGACTTTAGGGGGGTGTTTGTTTGCCTACAAATGAAAGATGACAGTGAGAAAAAGTGACTTGTTTTTAACACTTTAGGTATTTGGTTGCATGTAAATATATACTACTTATAAAAGAGAATACCCATGTCAAAACTTTTGATTTCCTTTTTTACCCCCTCAATTTTTTATAACTCAAAATTATATTATTAATTATAAAACTAATGATCCATAACCTCTCATTAACTATGCACATTTACATTTTCTCAAATTATTAGGTTATTCACTAGAATATATTAATAATTTATAATGATAACAAAATTCATGAATATATGATAATTTATTATAAATAATTATTAATTATATAAAATAGTAAAAGCCATTCATTTAATAAATTATTGCACATAATTATAACTATTAATAATAGTATAAATATGGGTTATTTATTTATGTTGTAAAGAATATTACCTTGTTCGATAATTAATATCATCTTAGTAATAAAATTTTGGATTTTATAAGTTAAAAATACTTTTATTTTAGAAAATTAATGTATATAAAAAATTTGGATCCTTTAAATTTATGAGACATATATTTTTCTCTTCTTTTCTTCAAAATATTTGGCCACTCGCTAGAATATTCTAATAATTTATAATGATAACAAAATTAATAAATATATTATAATTTAATATAAAATAATTATTAATTGTAATGAAATAGTAAAATTATTTATTTAATAAAATATTGTACATAATTATAATTATTAATAATATTATAAATAGGATTTTTAATATTATAACGATTATTACCCTTTACGATATTATAATATCGTCTTAGACATAAAAATTGGATATTATGAACATAGTGCAATAAAATATTGGATCTTAGCAATTTATGAGTCATGCATTTTTTTTGTTGGAAAGTAAATGTCTCATATATTTCAAGGATCCAATATTTTTATATAAATTATTTTTTCTAAATAATAATATTTTTAATTTATACCATCCAATTTTTTATTACTAAAATGATATTAATTATTAAACAATGTAATATTCTTTATAACATAATGTCATATAATATTAAAAATTATTCCCATTATTTAATAGATATTGTAATAAAATATGTACATGATATAAATATTTAATAATTTAAATGATTTAATTATATCAATAGTGTTACTTAAACTAATGATTACATTATTATTTAATAATTATACTTCTAAATAATTGTTTAATAGTATAATAAAAAAATTTAAATAACTATTAAATGTATGTTAATAATATTATAAGTACTAATATTAGTATAAGTTAAAAAAAATTAATCATAGTTAAAAAAAATTAATCATAGTGCAATAAAATAATTTTTAATGGTTATATATAATTTATTAAATAATATAATATTAAATACAACAAAATATCCACGTGCAAAGCACGTGCATTATACTAGTGATTATGAAAATGAAATACAAGAAAGTTGTCAAAAGTGGTGAAATCGTATGAAAGTGACAAAAATGGTAATTATTTTTTAATTAAATAGATTTTAACCATCATCTTCACATTGCACTTTCAATAATAATTTCATTTTTTTCAAATAAACACTATATTTCACTTTTCACACTGACATGGATGTGAAAGTCATTTGCAAAAGAAAAGAAACTTACACATTGTCAATTCAGTTTCGAATTGCCAAACACTTATCTCATAGAAAAATTATATGGAGTCATAAACTAATAACCACATTCCTGAGGGGAAAAGCACACTAATGTTCCAAAGCCTCAAGTTGTAAAAGAAATATACACCAAGAAGCTCGAATAGCACTACCTAGAGAGTTTAAAAATACCAATTTGGAGACATTTAATAACAAATTGAAACCTATTAGAATTCTAATCATATATAGAACATTCATATTTTTCCCCATCTTCTTCCTGACTTGGCTTTCAAGATAAACCTTAAATTATTCATTCCTTTGACTTGGATTTGTTTTTAATTGGATAGCAAACTAATGATCTCCATTCTTGGTTTGTATCTGATGAGCCCAAACATATTAGAATATACACTTATTGTG